TATATATATATATATATAAAGAAATAAAATCGAAACAAAAACTGTAGGATTTATTAACACATATACTTAAACTCAAAAATTCAAAGTGTTAACGAAAACTGAAAAAACATTTTTCGTTATTTCTCGATCAATAGTGCGAGAAAATTTCCAAATGTTATAAAAAATTATATATTATTATATACATTACATTACTTTACTATATATATATGCAAAGTGTATATGTATATATACATATATTTGTATTGTGATTTCAATTGAAACTCGTCTCCCGCTCCCTCAAGAAAGCGCCTTTGGAAGGAAACCCAAACAAAAAAATAAAGTAGAAGTGTTCGTCTCATGAGAATTTGATATGTTGAATCGCGAATTATTCATCGAATTCCAGTAGATTATATTCGTTATAAATTGTGAAAACGTTTTTATATATAGTACACCAAATTCGAGAAGAGATGAACGCCAGTCGCCAGTCTCCAAATCGTGTCCTGAAGGATTCGACAGTCGTCCGAAAATGAACGAATATTCTAAAATGTAACATTTAAAAATGTGTATTTTAAATTAATAAAACAAATCGAAACAGAAATATTTGAATTTTAATGTGCAGTGTGTGGGGAAAATGAAAAAAAGAAGAGAGGAGTCCAAGTATGTATATACAAATAATAATATACCTGGTGTAAAAAGCTCGCTCTACAAAAAATTCAATTTGTTTTAATTTTGAGCAGAATAAGTGTGCCACGTAACGACAGATTGCGAGACATATGTAAATATGTGTATGACAGATAGCTGGAAAGAATGTTGGAACGTGTAACAACTGTTGCAGTCCTTAAGAACAGCGACGCAAAATCAAAACAGACAAGGAAACAGAAACGTGCACACTGAAGGGAGCATTCCTCGTATACATACGTACATATATATGTATGCATTATCGAATTTCTTACACGTATACTATAGGACATGACAAATTAGAGCAGCAGCTGAATGTGTGAGCAATGGCAAAACACAGGTAAGGTAGCCAAAAACAGAATTGTGAATTCAAAATACAAAATATGTGTTGGTATTTTTTTAGCTTTCGCGTTCTTGACAACACCAAAGTGCAAAGTTTATAACGATTAGTCTGTCTACTCATTGCTCTCTCTTACTTATTGGAAAGTACTCGCTGTTGAGTAACAACAGGAACAAGTAAATTGAACGCAACCAGTGCGAGCAGTACGGATGACAACATCATTGATTGTACATAAGTAAACTTTGGTTAATACTATTCATTAATACTTAATACCGAATATCGATAACATAATAAATAGTTAACATTCTTATAGGCTCTGTGCGCCATGACAACGGGCAAGGAGTTCTTGGATTCTTACGAGAGAATTAAACTCTCTTATGAAGCAGCCGTGACTCAGGTGGACATTGCTCTGCGCCACAACAAAATGGAGTCGGAGGAGGATTCTGTCGCTGCCTGTGAGAAGGCGCTGCTGGTGATTGAGGAGACATTTGCCATACCCGTTGGGCTGCCAGATAACATTGATGCAGTGCAGCAGCAGTGGAACGATGCTTGTGCAATTATACAGAAGCTAAAGAGCGCCAAGATGGATCTGAGCTATCGATTAAAGGTTTTGAAAAGCAGCCAGCTTCCCATCGATGACACCGCTGCAGATGCGCAAAAACACGAACAGTTGGATGGAGCATCCACGAGCAAGCGCCCTTTGCTCGTTAACAACCAACAAATTTTCTATGACAGACTTAATGCGGGAGAAAGGCCGAGGACTTATAAGGAGCTGGCGACCGGCTTACGTGAGCTGTTAGCCAGCCACGAATCTCAGGCGCAGCTGGACGAGCTGTTTCAGGCACGAGTCAAGCTCTACAGGATCGAGTCCAGCGGTCAAGTGACCACGCTAACAGGCAGCTCGAAAATGTCGCTAATCATGTGCTCCGTGGTCGGCAAATGGGCATATTTGAATGGCAGCTATTTCATACAGTGCGACATGCCGCGGGAAGCGGATAATAAGGAGGCGGGCACGCCCATATGGCTGTATCCGCTGATTCCCAATGTCACCAACTGCTATTGCACGGAGTACGGTGCTTTCATATTGCCGGACATGGAGGTCGAGCAGGCAGGAAATGCATTTGGCCTAATGCTGGCTAAGCCACAGTGTCCGCTGAGCACCAATGCTGGAGAATCTGAGGAGGAGCAGATGGCGGACTTGCAGCAGTTCTTCGTAGACCTGCTCGAGGCCGTATTAGCGGACACTGTGGAGCTGTTGCCGTCGCCGCGCAGCCAACGTGCTGCGTCCACTGCCCCCGAGCAGGTGTCCAAGCACATTGTCTGCGCAGCGGATTTCATAGCGCGCAATCTGGTGAAGGGAGCCGAGAAGACGGGCGGATATATGTTTAGGGCTACGCCGTATCTCATGTCAAAAATGAAGCCAGCGGCAGCCGATGAGGCGGCTCAAGTGCCCAGTTCGGTACAGACCGGTGTGGAGGTGACACAGAAAGTGACTCGGGCAGCTGCAGGCCTGACCGGCTGGATCGCCGGTAAGGTGGGAACAGCTGCTGTTGCAGTCGGCGGATACCTAGCGCCACATGTCCAGACCCAAGGGTCGAAGCTCTTGCAGAAGGGCTTCGGCTACGACAGCATCAATGCGGACAGCACAATGGAAGGCGCCATAACCATTGCAGCGGGCGCTGTCGAGGGCTTTACCACAGTGTTCGACGGATTTGAAAAGTCGGCCAAGATCTTGGGCAACAGCTTGAGTGAGAATTCCGTAAAAATTATTGAACACAAGTAAGTTTACGCGTTCTCTTAGAGATTGAAAACTCAAGTATGTCTTTTTCAGATACGGCAGCTCGGCTGGAAACCTGGCCAGCGAGACTTTCGATACGGTGGGCAACGCCTTCGTCATTAGCCAAAATGTTAACTATATAACGCCCAAAGGTCTGGCCAAGAAGTTGGTTAAGAAAACGGGCGAAGCTGTTGTTGTGGATTTGCGTCGTCCAGAATCTCATTACATTAACGCGGGCGCATTGTATCCCAATTTAAGAGCACTGAAGGAGTAAAAGGTCCTAATGAAGGATTGATCTTTATCTCAGTTAGTTAAGTCCAAAATAGGTTCATTCTTTTTAACGAATTTGTTGATATTAATATGTAATCTCCGTTAGTCAAGTTAAGCTTTTATTATGTTTGCAACGAATTTGTTATTAACCTTAAAGTACTCAAAAAAAATGAATAACAATCAAAGTTGATTTTTTAAGTTTGAAGTTATATAGCAGTCAGCTATCGACAGTGGAAACACAACGGTGAAGTATAACATTACTAGAGCAGTAACAGCAGTGTAACAGAATTTCCTCAATCGTGAAACTGTTATATTCGTGTTGTTATACAATCGGTTAACAGCGTGCTGTAAATGACATTGTTAATTTCAGTTTAGTCGTCGAAGTGTTCGGTCGTAGCCGTCGGTCGTGCGGTTAGTAAAGTTTTTTCAAATAAAAATAATAATGTGTATGTGCATATGAATATGAATGTAAGAAACAGAAGCAAGACGAATGTGTACGTGTGTGAAAACTAATTATTCTTTTGTCTATTGCGTTCGTCTTTCACACGTACACAATTGCATTGGCCATTGTTGCTTGTTTTTGACGTGCCTTAAAAAAGCCTTATTACAAATACGTATGCATATAAATATAAATATGAAATAGCATATATTGCCATTCACGGGCCGCATATATATATATATATGTATATATGTGTGTATATATATATATATATGTGTGCGAGTCTGATCTTGTATGTATGTCTGTTTAAATGCGTACGTGTTAGTGGCTGCTTGTGTGTATAAGTGAACGTGTTTGTGTACGGAACCCCATTATTTTCAGTGTGCGCTTTACAAGCTGTGAAATCAAAACTGTTCATTTGAAGTGAATAGTGAATACAAATATATAAAATAAATAATAAAGCTATATACAACTAAATATACAGCACGCTTTTTCACTTCTTAAGTTACATGGTCTGCTCACATCTAATACTAGCTTACACAAAAAGCAACAACAAGTTACTGCCATAAACGGTCAACAGCAGTTCTAAACGTACACACACATGCAAACACACACATACGCAGAGGCAATAGCAACTAAATCGTGTTTGTGTGTGCGTGTTTGCTGTTGCTGTTGCTTACCTGTGCCTGTGCGTCTCTGTATGTGTGTGAATATATGCTAGTGTATATACGTTTTCTAACACACGTCTCTTTGTTATAGACCGCGATAATCAAAAGCAACAGCAGAGACCGAGTGTATAAGAATTCTGAATTGTTAAATTTTGATATACTCACACACAACGAAATCAAACTGGATGAACAAAAAATTCCGGCATTTGAAACAAAATCAATCCAATAAAATAAAATCAAGAAATTTTGATATTTTCATGGTAAGTTTTGCGAAACTATGGTCCTTATTTCATCTTCTTGATAACGGCTTATGCCGTATTACATAATTTTATTAGTATTGTATTTGTTTGTGTTATTTGGCGCAGCTGTAGCAACAGCAGAGGAAAATTATAATAATGCCCAGTGACAGTATAGCTAACATTAGGCTTTCCTCCTGTTCGATCGGGTATGCTGTTGTATCTTTGCATCGGCTTGCAAGTTCACTTGAATTCACGCGCATATCTGTTATTTCGATTTCTTTCTCTTTCCTTTTCTTGATGAGAAAATGTTGATTTCAAATTTGTTTTTTCTTTTTTTTTCTTTGTAATATGTACATATACATATATTACATTTAATAACTGTCGGAGCTCAATGTATGCTTTTCTCATCTCACTTTTCGATTACAAATCATTTTCACTTTGCATGTGAAAATTGTGGCTAGTAATATTTAAACGGCTTGAGCATTTGCAATAACATCATCAACGTCGGAGCTCGAAGCTGGCTAACAGGTTTTGTGATTTGAAGCTAATAAGGTATTGGCAAAAAACAAATGAAAAATAAATTTAAAAAAGAAAGAAATAAATAAATGGCTAAATTATAATCGAGAGATGCATACAAAATCCATCATTGGAAAGTTGACTTGATTGGAACTATGGAATGCAGCTGCGACAGGGTTGTTGCCTAGATGTGCGACAGGGCGACGCAGTTTTGTTGTTGTTGTTGTTGTTGTTGTTGTTGTTGATGTGATTATTGTTTGTTGCAAAAAGTCATCTTATGTTACAAGCTCTATTGCTTCACGCTTCATTTGACAACTTTCAACAGCAACAACGACAACAATATCAACAATAATGCTGTCGAGATATGTATGTATGTGGGAAAGGCTGTTGGTCGGGTCTAGGGTTACGTCCACATGTAATTAAACGCGATTCCGTTAACTAAATAAAATTTCAACTAATAATAATACTTTGAATAAAAATAAATGTCTATGTACTTATATCTCTATACCTTCTGTGTATATGCGATTGTTCCCTTTTCTTTTTACGATAAGCTGGTGCTTTTAGTGTTTTGGACTCACAAATCTCAATTAGTATTCGTCGTTTTTTCATCTTCCACTTTTTTTTTTGCTCCACCCACAGCAACAATAATAAATCGGCAATGGACAGTTGACAATGTTGATTTGTTGTTTTTATACCCTGAACCCATTGAAAATGGGAAATAAGGGTATAATGGTTTTGTTA